GAAAAGACAGCCCAACCACGGCTCAGGAGAAATCTAAGCTGAGAGGACTCCTGGGGGCGATTAGCTGGCATGCCCAGCAAGTCTCCCCACACGCTTCGGCTGAAGTGAGCCTGCTGCTGTCAGAGGTCTGTGTGAGCCGAGTAAGCACCATCCTCCAAGCCAACAAGCCTCTTCAATCCATCAAAGCTAAGAAGAACCACTCCCTCCTGATACATGATTTCAACGAGGACGAAAAACTGGGCATGTTTGCCTGGGTTGATGCCGGTTCCCAGAACCGACCAGATGGCAGTGGAACCATGGGGATCATAGTAGGAATCGCTCCCTTGAACATGCTGCAAGGTGAAGTAGGACGTGTGTCAGTCATGTCATGGCACTCCAATAAGATCGAGCGTAGCTGTAGGAGCCCCGGAGCCGCCGAATGTCAAGCGGCCAGTCACGGAGAGGATATTCTCTACTACTCGAGATACCAATGGAGTGAACTGTGGCATGGTGATGTTGATGTGAGGGACCCCAATGCCTGTGTCTTGAAAGTCCCCGGAACCCTGGTGACTGACTCTAGGAACGTGTATGACAAGTTAGCTACTGAAGTTCTCTCAATCAAAGGAGCCGAACGGAAGTCGAACCTAGAGCTCTTGAGTGTGAAAGAGGCACAGATGCGTACCCAACTACAAGTGCGCTGGGTACACTCGGAGGCGCAGCTCGCGAACTCCTTGACGAAACAGAATGGCGGCCACGAGTTGGAACTGTTCTACCGGATGAACCAAGCATGGCGAATCGTGGAGGACCCGGCTATGCGATCAGCGAGGAAGCGCAAAGCAGATGGAGTGCCACCGCTGGCGAGTACAAGTTCACACATGGGTGATGCTTCCGAGGAAACTGAACAAGGGGAACAATGTTTATTTCAGGATCACTTTTATTAGGACCCCGAATACCGGGACATGCAAGCTTTCAGGCTTGGCAGCTGCAGACGCTTACGTGTCCTGCGCAGCTTCGTATGATCAGAGGCGACCACTGGGGTAGTGTAGCCAAAAGACCGCTTCGCTTAAGCCATAGCTGGTGTCCGAGCTACTGCCCCTCTTCGGTGCCGTCATCGACAGCTAGAGCACCCGAGAGCTGTTACCACTTACAGGGGTTTTAGGGTTTCGGTTAGCTTAGGGCTTTGAGGTCTTAGCGTTTAGGGCTTTTAGGATTTAGGGGCTTAGGGCTTAAGGTCTTAGAGTTTAGGGGTTTTAGGGTTTAGGGGTTTAGGGCTTAAGGTCTTAGAGTTTAGGGGTTTCAGGGTTTAGGGGTTTTAGGGTTTAGGGGTTTAGGGGTTGTAGGGTTTAGGGGTTCAGGGTTTAGCGTTTAGGGTTTAGGGCTTTAGGGCTTTGGGGGTTTAGGGGTTTAGGGTTTAGGGCTTTAGGGCTTTAGGGATTTGGGGTTTTAGGGGTTAGGGGTTTAGGCTTCCCCATGTCTTTTTGGAATTTTGTAAAGTTTGCTTTAGGGGCTCCTTGAACGGTTCCTTTAAGGCAACCTTTAAGGCTACCTTAACGGCTTCGATACGGGTTCTAGAGGGTTTGAAACCCTAAACCCTAAACCCTAAACCCTAAACCCTAAACCCTAAACTGGGGTTCTAGAATGGCTTCTAGAAGGGCTCCAGACGGGTCCTGGAAGAGTTTCTATAAAGGTCTGTATGTGGTTTAGGGTTTAGGGTTTAGGGTTTAGGGTTTTCCAAGCTGGGGGAAGACAAGTTTCTTCAGGATTCTTGTCGGGGTTTTAGGGTTTAGGGCTTTAGGGGTTTAGGGGTTTAAGGGTTTAGGGGTTTAGGGGTTTAGGGGTTTAAGGGTTTAGGGGTTTAGGGGTTTAGGGTTTAGGGCTTTTAGGGGTTTAGGATTTTAGGGGTTAGGGGTTTTTTGGACTTTGTGTATAACGGTTGTACAGGGGTTCCCATACAAGAGGATGTGCACGAGGATGCTATGATTTCAAATCTTTGGAAGGGCTGTTGTAAGAACTTTTGTAGGGTAGGGCTGATGATAAGAAAAAAATGCATTACCCCGTAATAAGGAATATACCATGATTCCCATAGTTTCGGGTCCCTTAAGGTAACGCAGGGTTTTGTATCATCAACAGTGGTGCTTGATTCTTCATCCCTAAACCCTAAACCCTAAACCCTAAACCCATGGCAGGTTTGGGTTTGAAGGCACAGGGATCGACTCTTCGGGGTTTGGACTCAGCACTTTACTTGGAGGCCCAGGGGACTTCGTAATTTGGTT